TAGACTATATCCAAGTTTATGAAGGGGTTTGTGACTCCTTGGGACAGGGACCTACATTCCAAGATCAATCTGTGTTCAACAGGTCAAACCCCGAAGGCAGTGCTGCTCGAACTTGAACGTGCAATAGAAGATGCTGTCAACAGCTGATTCCGATGCAGTCGGTGGGGGTGGGCCTAAGATTCTGCACTTCTAGCAAGCTTCTAGGCGACGCCATGCTTCTGGCTCTTGCAAAACATTTGAGGGGTACTGACTAGAAGATATTTAATACTCAAAAATTACCAACTACAGGGGCTGGCGTTGTGATGCAGCAGTTAAGTTGCTGCTTACCACAGGGATACCCCATATCCAACACCATTCACATCCTGGCTGCTCCCTTCCTGATCCAGCTCCCTACTAATGTACCTAGGAAAGCAGTGGAAGATGGCCCAAGTGTTTGGGCCCCTGCCACCCACATGGGAGACCCAGGTGAATTTCCAAGCTCCTGGCTTCTGTGTGGTCCAGTCCTGGCCATTGGGGCCATTTAGGAAGTGAACCAACAGATGGAATATTGCTCTTTCTCTCTTTCTCTTTCTGTCACTCTGCCTTTCAAATAAATCAATAAATAATAAATGCATCCTTTAAAAAACTGTATTAGCTATGGATGATCCTTCCTCCATAAGAAGAACCCAAGAAGCAGCAGCATCAGTGACTGGCCCTGAGCGGAGCCCTTTCTCTGGACTGTCTGCTGACAAGGTGGCTGCCTTTCCTTGCTTTGGAGAGGAAGATAATGAAGCAGCCACTTCTCAGGACGGGAGGGTCACGTGCAAGAACGCAAGGTTCTCAGGTCCCACACCTGCAACACAACGAGTCCTCCTTAACCCGTGCTGGCGCTGGCACTGCTGCTGTGGCTGTGCGCCCTCCTCTTTTGGTATCCACAGCCATTAGCGTGGGGCCTCAGCACGTCTGAGCCCAGCAGGAGAGGGCACTCAGGCTCGCCAGTCCGTAAATGGGCTTCATCCATGTGCATGCAGAGAGATTTTTCAGTTCTTTCCACAAATAACCGTGAAGCCCGAAGTTTGTAAATGTAATACACATCATCGAAAACCCCAACTGGGCATTAAGCATTTGTATTTACCACTTTCAGCTTGCTCAACAGGTATAAATCTGCCCCAGTCCAATATTTTGTTTGTCTCGGTTGCCTTTCATGAAGTCAAGGGCAAGGCATTGTGCTCAACAAGGATATCCTACCTCTCTCCCTGAATTCACCCCACAGTGTTTTGTAAACTCAGCCCGAGGGGCATCCCTTTAACTGGGATTTACAGCCTTGCCCATAAGGTCCAGAGAGCACTGAGCGTTTCCTACAAAGCTGCCTTCTGGCTCCAGCAATTTGAGTCAAGGAAAAACAAATGACCATTCCCTCTCTCTCTCTGTGCCAAAAGTAATTTGCTCACCCATCATCTGCCAGAAAACAAATGCAAGATGAAATGCAACCAACAGTCTTTTCTGGGCAGCCCTCTGAGAAATGTCTGTCTCCCGTGCACAAGTGGGCGGCGAGAAGCTGACCAAGATGGCGCTCTAATACACATGTGTAGCTCTGTGCACACCACGCTGGCCCAAGCCCACGCAAATCTGGTCAGGTGAAGAATACAACTGTCAGCCTGGCCGTCTGGCATTGTCTAGATCCCCCAAAAGTTTGACTAACTCCCTTACTAATGAAATGCTTCATTTGGTGTGTATGGAAAGATAGCCTATTTCACTCTATAGCCTACTTATTAATTCAGATATTCAGCCAATTCACCATGTGTGCTATGCCAAGCCTGCTTCAGAAGTTACGTCTTTGTCCCTAAGTGAATGGTGACACTAACAGGAAAAAAGACGGACAATGGTGTTTGAAAAACCAGCACTTCACAAGTCGTGGTAGATCTGCTTAAACTATAAGAAAAATATGTAGGTTCTAGAAAGATTGTTCTAATTTTCCTGATTGAGCTTATATGTATTTCTTGCATATTTATATGGCAAATGAAATGCAGGAGCAATGGACAGGAGTCTGAAAGGCACATACAGACCAGAAATGTTGTAACGTGCATTCCCCAAACCAACTGGCCTAATTATGGCCATCCTTTCTGCTATTCAAACACCACATGCATTATACAGCGATCTACTAGAAACATCAGGAAGAGCACGTCTTCATGGGTTGCTATGTGGAATCTATGAGCTCACTAGGAAGCAGGCTCCATCAGGACAGAGACTGGTCTGTTTCCTGCTGTGTGTCCAGGGCCTGCAGTAGCCATGTATCGGTTGTACAGTAAATCCAGTCTTCTCTGGTTCCAAGGCCCCCACAGATACCAAAACCTGAGGATGTTCCAGTCCCTTCTACAATGACAATAGTACTTGCATGCAACCAACACACATCCTCCTGTATACTTTAAAAGTCATCTCTAGATTATTTATATTATTTATATGTAAGTGTATGTAGATAATGGCTATTCTGTATTGTTTAGGGAATAATGACAAGACAAACCAGTCTTCCCATGTTCAGTACCAATGCAACTTTCTTCCCATTATTTTTTTTTTTTGACAGGCAGAGTGGACAGTGAGAGAGAGAGACAGAGAAAGGTCTTCCTTTGCTGTTGGTTCACCCTCCAATGGCCGCCGTGGCCAGCGCGCTGCGGCCGGCGCACCGTGCTGATCCGATGGCAGGAGCCAGGAGCCAGGTGCTTTTCCTGGTCTCCCATGAGGTGCAGGGCCCAAGCACCTGGGCCATCCTCCACTGCACTCCCTGGCCACAGCAGAGAGCTGGCCTGGAAGAGGGGCAACCGGGACAGAATCCGGCGCCCCGACCGGGACTAGAACCCGGTGTGCCGGCGCCGCTAGGCGGAGGATTAGCCTAGTGAGCCGCGGCGCCGGCCCCCATTATTTTTGATCTGTGGTCCTTGTGTTCATGGACATGGAACCCCTGGATCTGGAGAGCCAGCTGTCTATGGTTACGGAGTATTTAGATCGGTAGCACCAGATTGTTCCACCGGCCAGGACATTATGCTAACAGCTTCTAGAATAACAACAGATATATTCAAAACTAACTTCTAAGAAAACTTCCACTACCAAATAAAATTCCATGTGAAAGCATGGCTCTTAGGACAGGCATTTATAGTTAATGTCAATGCCATCCCAACAAAGACAGAGCAAGAGACCAGCCAGCCATTTGAGGGGATCCTGGGCGGTCAGCCCCAGACTCTCCTGGGTCATGCAGGGCCCCAGGCAGAGTGGGAGGAGGCTGTGAACTGTACACACAGGCCACGCTGAAAGTCACAGAGTTGGCCCAGCCTTGTCATTCCAGACAAGAAACCGACATCCGGGCTGGTAAAGAAGCCTGCGGAGCCACACACAGAGGCAGTGGATCCCACAGCCTGGACCGGAACGGAAGCCTCTGACTCCCCATCAGCTCTTTTTTCTGCCCCCACCAAGCCACATTAAGAGGAATCTTTGGCACATTTGTGCAGAACAACTCAGTGTCTGTGCAGAAAAACAGCAGCTGGACCAGTCACGCACCGTAGGTGCACAGCACACCTACACACACCCACCCCCCACATATCCACACACCCACCCACCCCCAACACACACAGTGATATGGTCATCTACAGGCAGACTTCAAAAAGTTCATGGACCAAACAAAATGGACTTAAAAGATGTTAATTTTGATGCTAAAACCGTTGAATTCCACGCATAGTTTTTTTTCTTCCAAAATGCATGTTTTCCATGAACCTATAGAAGACCCCCATGTGTTTAACCATGCAAATATGAGTATTAGGCTGGCAGGACAATTGAGGAGAGGGAACTACAGTGTGCCCAGCCCTGAGTGGGGGAGGACTGTGAAACTTCAAGACCTTTTGCTTCTGTCTGAGTCATGGCACAGCCGTGATGGTCTCAAAAAAAAAAAAAAAAAAAAAGTCTCGAGCCCTCCACGGCCAGGGGAAAGGTCACTGCGACACAGAGACCCCGAGCCCAGGGAAGTGAGAACACCGTCCCGGCAGGGTACTGGAGGGCTCTTCACACGCTCCTCTGAATTCAGAACTTTTCAACCCAAAGCAAACTTTGCACTGTGCTCTACTGAACACGGCTGGCATTTGATGAGGCTAAATCTGGCATGTGTGCCAGCCGCAGAGCTGGGCACCCATACATTAAACTGCACCTTCTTTTATGTTACAAGGATCTGCGGTTCAGAATTCCTTCGCTCAACGTGTGCCCAACTGGAAAGCTACAAGAAACATTTTTTTTTCTTCTGATAGAGCTTTTGTATAGTATTCAACAATAATAATGCTACAAATTATAGGACACCTACGTGAAAAAAATACAGTACTTGTAAGTGCTAATTATAGGACTCTTCAAAAATTACAACAGACATTGATTGACGCCTACGACTTGTCAAGCATTGTGTTAACTACTTTACATCAATAATTTTATTGAGGCCTCACAACTCTGTGATGTTGATACGGTTTCACATTTGGGGACCCTGTGGCTTAGAGAGGTTACGTATCTGGCCTACAGCCCGGATTGCAACCCCAAATTTGTACAACAGACCCTGTGCTTTTGAGATCCTACTCACTGTAATTTGGCTAATGTTTGAGCACACAGATCCACAGAACACATATCCTAATAGGATTTATAACGTATACCACGAATGCGTAATTTAGCTAGGTGCGTGGCTGGAGCAGAAATTAACTATAGAAAACTTGCAATGGTTCAAATTCTGGATCATTCCAAACTGGAATTCCCCTAATGAAATCCCAAAAGAACCTCTGATGACCCCAAAGACAAATCACACTCTGGAAGTTTCCACGAATGCCAAGTCACTCCTTGGAGTTCAGTAAAGATAGTGAGTGGTTGCAAGTAGTCTAACTCATCAATGGCCTTTTTTTGCTTCAGGAAATTAGTTGATTTTTTCCCTCCTCTGGGTATCAAACAAATATTCTCATGCCCGTGACTCAACAATCTAAATGAAACGGTGAGTATGTCATTTTTCTTTGAAAGAGAATAGCATATCCCAGCCCCTTCGCGGGCTGCCCCCGTGAAGACGCCTGCCAGAAGTGGTGTTTTCTCAGCTACCGGCCTCTGCACTTGCAACCTGACTAGCACAGAGGAACCGTACTTCTATTTGTCTCCTTTGTGTTGCCTCTGATGCTTTTCTTCAATGGCCCAAACTGGAGAGTGTTCTGTGATGTTGCTTTAACTGGACAGAACATTAAGTTCATGATCAAGGAGAAATGAAACTGAAAGGAGCGCGTCGGGATGGCAGCCCCGCTTCTCCCCTGGCATATCAATTGCTGATAAAGGATGCGAATCGCCCCGATGATCTATCCCAGCTACCTGCGGACGTGAACATCCCTGACAATGGGGCGACTGGGGTAAGTGGTGGGGCACCTAGACACCATGCTCAACACTTACTGGAATCGTTTTCCATCACTAAGAAAGCAAAGGGCAGTCACCGCTCTTACGTCGCCTGTTTTACAGTGCTCCTAAGGGGAGACCCACAAATAAAGGAGAAGAAAAAGAGAGCTGAGACTCTTGGAACGAAGCCTGCCCAAAGGCCCAGTCCTCTGATATTTCCTCATCCTCATCAAGCTCATGGCTCAGTCTTGCACAAAGAGTAATCATTTGATTTTGGTTAAAGCAGAGTCTGGCCAAATTAATCTTAAAATGAGAGTCCAGTTATTTTTGTCAAGCTCTTCACATTCTAGGTGATTTCAATGAGGAAGTTTCATAAAAATGAATATTTTAAGAAATATGCAAGGTCATTGCCATTCACCCATTTGGTAGCTTTGCAGTGAACTTGTTAACATTAGTAAACACTCACTGTCTTTGACAGTGACCTTGCTGACCTACTTTTGACAACGCGATCTTGGCTCCCTCGTGGCTTACTATGATGAGTTCTTGGTAACAGCATCCTTTCTCACGAATTGAATTGAAGCAAGTTAGACCTTCAGAAAGTGTCAGTTTAACTAGCTTGCTGGTCCCATAGTTGGCTTTGACACACCGGGCAGAGAGTGAACATTTCCCAGTTGTGTCTATGGCTTAAGTCTCTCACTCCTAGTGACACAAGTGACTATCTTCACCTGCCCATTCTGGTCACACGCTGTTTTTCAAAGCCACAGCTCTGTACCCCTCAATCGTTACCTTCATTTGTGTGGCAAATGCCATCTTCCACTGACAGTGAATAAATCTGCACTAAACCCACATGTAGAACCGGATCACACAAGCCCCCACGATTCCTTCTGTTTTTCCTTCCTACACTTCAGTGATGCAGAACAACAGTCAACAATTAACTGTCCTCTTTTGGGGGTGGAGCGCTGAATGGAAAGAAGAGAACAAGAGACAGGCACCTCCATCCAGCCAAGGTGCAACAAACACCCCAACGCAAGCCACAAATCTTAGCAGACGCCCAGATAAGGTTTCGAGGACACAGCACGCGAGAAGAATGAAATTCTCCAGGGGGACACATCCCTCCCTCCCAGGGCTCCAGGATAAGCCAGCCACCTTGTCCATGCCCAAATTCAGATTTCACACAGGGGTCTCCTTCCTTGGCCCCATGGCAAGTCTCTTTGCAGTTCTGCCAGTCTCAGCTCTGCAAAGCATCGGGATTCTCTCCCACCAAAAACAGAAGCATACATTCTGGGCCATCCCTCAGCGATGCCCCAGGGAGGGCTTTTCGGTTGAAGATGCCCCCAGCAACCTCCAGCCCAGGGACACAGAAATGATTGCCCGGGGGGCGGGGGCGGGGGGGGGAACTTACCAGCTCCTGAGGATTCAATGGCTCCAGCGGCCTGATTGCTGGCTGTGTTTGTCTCTCTCCCTCTCTCTCTCTCTCCCTGTTTCTCTCGTGTACAGATTGCAGGGAACGTAAAGAACTAGCAGGGACAGTGTTTCAAATGACTTAAGAAAGAGAACAGGAACAATACTTCGTTCTCTTTTTCTCAGATGAGTACCTTCGGGAAGAAGGAAGGAAGGGAGGGGAGAGGGAGGAAGTCAACAACCCTTTGCTTTCCTGAAAAAAAATAAGGAAACAGAAGATAGACATCTCATTTTCTCTTAAACAAAATGTTGGAAGGGGCAAAAAATAAAATCTTTGAAAAAAAAAAAAAAGGAATTCCTCAAATTTGCTCTCTGCCCTGGGAGTTTTTGAAAGAGATGAAAATGCCTTAGTGGCCAGTGCTGTCCGAACAACGGGTGCTCAGAAAAGGCAGGTCTCCCGGGCTTGCAGAACTCACACAGGCCAAAAGGGAACAAACCGTGTCATGTCGACTCTGAGCTAGGCGAGGTCTGCTCTGCCCTGCTCACGGGGGCAGGCGTGCAGCCTGCGAGACCAGGCGTCGCAGCCACTCAGCCAGGGCTTCTGGCTTTCCTAGGCCCTTTGAAACATTAGCATGGCTGCGAGCTGCTCAGCTGACATTAGACCCTTGGCGCTCCTGCAGGATCGAGTAGCAGATTTCTCACCGAGCTCCATGCCATGGACCCCAGCCAGCGTCCATCTTGGCTGTTGGAGGAAAAGCAAAGGAAGCCCCCTCCCCTGCTGCTGCCTGGCCCGGTTATCTCTGAATTGCTGCGGAGTTCATCCTGCCTTTATGTCCCTGCCGCTTCTGGGACTTGGTCGCCTCTGGAAAATTGCAAGGCGATTTCTAATGCGTCCTCAAAGAACTGCAAAAGAGCATGGGTCTTAGCTAAATCAACCACCGTGTGGGGGAAATGATGGGGAGGCTGTGTAGAAGGAGCCAAGAAACTTCTTGACCAGGGAGGGAACCTGGGGACCCCGGGGGGATGCCTGAGCTGCCTGCCAGCCAGGGCTCGTGGCAACTCAGGAGTAAGCTTGTCTTGGGTCCTCATTCATCGCTTAAGACGATTTTCACCACAAGCAGGAACCGGGAGCTCTGTGGACCTTTGTGGCAGTGAAAGAAAAACCAGCCTGAAGTTACTTCCTCAATTCACCCAATTGTGAGCGAAAACCGGGCTGGAGGGTACGCACCTGATTGCAGACAGCAACTGAAAGTGAGTTCAGGGAAGACATGAGCCACTCCAGCAACTGTGTAAGCTTTGTATTGGGTACTAGAGTGTAGAAAGTTGATTTTTTATTATTATTTTAACAGCTCTCTTCCCCATTATCTATCTAACCACGGACCTTCCTACCTGCCTGAATGGGCGTGCGTGTATCAGGCAGACTTGAAGCTATCATTACGCAGTAAGTATGCAGGAGCCAGAACAGAGCCCTGTCCCGGCCGTCGCCATGGCACCAACCCGGGCACGAGGCACAGCACTGGCCCAGGCATGGGTGACTCACCTCATCAGCCGGTGACAACACCCCCGACCAGGGACACTATCCCTGCAGCTTGCCCAAAGCCGCTGGCCTCCGTGGCCAGAACCCAAACGTCCCTGTCTCCTGCGCCCAGCGCCAGCGCCCTCGGCCCCCTGCTGGCCTTCCTCTGCATCCTGCCTTTGTGGACTGGGAAGGAAAAGGAGCAAGAACATCTAAGAGGACTAAGAGGACGAGGCTGAGCCTGAGCCAGTGGGGCCGCGCGGGAGGACGCACTGGAGGCTCCCAAGGGCGCACCCTTGCGGAGCGCCAGGTTTCCGGACGCACGATGAGAAGGGGTGACGGGGAGGGGGCATCGCCCCCAGGCTGCAGCCCCCCAGACCCCAGGCCCCTGGCCCCTGGCAGGCCTCCAGCCCCTCTGGCCCCCTGGAGGGCCAAGCTCAGGCCAGCCAGCCCTGCCCTGCTGTTCCTCCTCTGTGCTGCTTGGGCAAGGCCAGGCCGAGCCCCAGGAGTCCGGTCAGAAGTCTGAGGATTTCCCTTTCAAGTCTGCACGACGCGGGGACGGTCACGTTGAGGGCCTGTTGTTTCCTCCCAGCCGGCGGCCCGCCCAAGGACAGGGCCCTTGCAGGGCGCGCGGCGGCTTTGATTTCCCAGAGCCTGGTCCAGCGGGGATCTGAGGACACTGCGCAGTGTGGCGCCCTGCACGGCCCTGGTCGCTTGCCTGTGGGGTCTCAGCAAGGGCTCCCCCTTACCTGCCTGCCAAGCAGAGGAAAAGGTGCCCTCTAGCGCCTGCGGAGTCCCATCGGGGCCCGGAGGCTGCAAAGGCCAGGTCCCTCCCATGGAGCATGGCAGGGGACATGCCACTCCTGCTGGCTTCTCTGCATCCCAGTGGAGAGCAAGGGGCTGAGAGTTTGTAATGCAGCCAACCAGGAGGCGCCTGTGTAGACTTGGGGGAGGCCCGGCCTTAACCCCTCCGCGAAGCCCCACATTGCAGGGGCGTGTGTCAGGGGCCATGTGAGAAGCAAGATAGGGCTGCAAGCCCCTGAGTCTAGATCAGGGACAACGAGAAGAGCCAAGGTGAAGTCCAAGTGGCAACCTCAGTACCCAAGAAGTATGGGCTCTGCTCAGAATGGCTCCCTACCGTAGGAACATCCCAATTTCCATGCCTCCAACTTCCAATAACCCGCAACTTTAGACCATCTATCCACCAACGGACTAATGCAACCTCAATCCATGGAGGTGGTTGGAGGGATGAAGAGAGGGTTAGACGCGAGTGTGTGGGTCAGTGAACATCAGAAAATGAGCACGTCTCAACGGCCAGCCCCTAGATCGAGCAGCAAAGCTGAGGACTCGTCACTCACTCCCTTCTCGGGGACACGAGGACCACGTGGTTTTGAATGTGCTTTAAAAATGCCAGGGGGCGAGCTTTTCTGGCTGGGTTTCTTGGCCTCAGTATTGTGTTTGTGAGACTCACGCTCTGGTCAGGTGTGGCTGTGTTCGGTCAGTGTCACTGTTCCACCACGCGTCTATCTGCTCCACCGGAGAGGGTCACTTGGGCTGTTCCCCGCGGGGGCCGCCATGAACACACTGCGAGGAACATGCCCGTTCCTTCCAGATGTCTTCTCAGAGCAATGCTGAGGGACTCGTTTCTGTGCGCTCGCGAGACTTCATGCTTTCGCTTTCCCTTGGTACTCACTTCCTCTCACACGGAGGGGCCTGGCATGCTTTGTTAAAAATGCAAATGATTGTGGTTTGAAGAGGTGGCGGTGCCCTAGGAGATGCTGGCAGAGTTCCCCAGGAGGCACGGAGAGGTTGCAGGCCACTGTCCTGGCTTCCTGCAGCAGCCTGAAGACACTTGGTCCTGCAGCCCTGGGTGACTCTCTGGGCAGTGGTCTCTCCCAGGACCATGGCCCCTCCATGGGGGGCCTCTCACAGACCAGACATTGACTTTCCTTAAGCTCCGAACTCCTCCAAGTCCCAACTCTCCAAAACGTGAGAATATTCATTCCTGTCTTCCTTTTCTGCTTTGTATTTACATGAAAAGATAAGAAGAAGTCTTTTAAACAAGTTATTTAAGAAAGTCTTTTTTGTATCCAGTATCTTCACTTGACAAGTGAGGATAAGAGCGTTCCTATTTGTGGATCGGATTAGAAGTAAATACGGAGTTAGGATCTCTCACTTACTTCCTGGGTGCCAGGCACTGATGAACTTGGGACTGTGTCTTGCAGCCGTCTGAAGCAGACGCTATTATAATCCACCACCCCTGCCTTTCACAGATGAGGGGGCTGACTCATGAAGACCCTACTGTGCACATTCTCCAAAAACCTCATGGAAAATAGAACTAAAAAAATAAAGTTATCATGGTGCACAAATTTTTGTGATCTATGCATGCAAGGGATCTTCCAAAAGTTCATGGAAAATGCTTATTTCAACCTAAGTGAATTTCACATTCTGCATCTTTTAATTCCATTTTAGGAAATACCCTCAAATCTTCTCAGCACCACATGGCTAATAATAATCCAAACCCAAGGTATTATGGCTCAGAGCCCTCAATTTTAACCAGAAAGTTTACTTGCCTTGCCCTCCAACCAAACCTTACCCATCTTGTAGTTTAAAAAAAAAAAAAAAAAAAAAAACAAGAAGTGGCCCCTAAAAGTGGAGAACAAAGTGTTTCATAATATAAAGAAACAAGGTGCATGGCACAAAAGCTTCTTGAGCACCCTTCAATGAGCCCGCCTTATGGACCAGGGGCCCAAGCTAGGTGTGGTTCATATGCTTCTGGATCTTACCGCTTGGTGGAGGAGAGCCAGAAGACAGAAAATCAAACAAATCAGACGGGAATGTCTAAACAGGGACCACCTCAATCTGTGCTCATAAGAGGAAGTCTGGGAGCTGGCAGCGCGCACAGCAGGGCCCCAAGTCTGGACAAGCAGGTCAGGCCAGGCCCATCCTGAGAAAATGACACAGCAGCTGAGACCTGAAAGTGGACAGGAGCCTGGCAGAGGTGCCAAGCCACGGCTTTATCAAGGGGTAGGTCGAAGCCCAGATTCTGACGTTGGGCCTAACAAGGATGAGAAACCATTCAAGACTTTCCTTGGGGGACAGGATGATCAGATTTGTATCTCACAAAGACATTTTGTACCCTAGGCAAAGAATGGATTCTGAGGCGGCAAGAGTGGGAGCAGAGGAGCAGTTGTAAAATCTGGGCTACATCTGATTTGCCAGTCAGGGACAGCAGGAGGATCAGGAGATAAGGCCGACGGTCAGTGCCTGCGGAGGTCATGGGATGGCAAAATTCGAGAGATGTGATGATCCGTGGTGGGACAAGAGAATGGACATAGGTATCGCCTAGCATTAAGCAGCCAGCTCCTGAAAGATCTGGCTTTTAAACAGCAGTACCTTCCGCCATGCCCCTTCTCTCCATGTCCAAACTTAGCACGTACCTGCCTTGCTCCATCCCAACCTTGCGTCTGCTATCTTACTGTCAGCATCCCAAGGTGCCTACCCGTGCTGACATCTCTCAATACCCGCACAGCAACGTTTCCTTTTCTCTAGCACACACCCAGCACTGTGACTGCAAGGCTGGTGGCATCCTCAAAACTCGCACAGCAACGGCAAGTTGGACGGAAGGAACAGAGCTCGATGCTTGAGCCGCTAGGCTTGGGGAAAGTATATTCTAGGCTTTCCAGGTGAAAACCCAGTCTGAAGTTTTCTCAAGAAACATTGTTCCCTTTGATAGATGGGTGGCTTTGTAACTGAGTTCCCCAGCATATTGTAAGGAGCAGCCTGACCATTTGGGGGCAAAACAGACTCAGCCTCTCCTGTGCTCTCTCAGCACAAAGCAGTTCTGCAACTGGGTGCATGGGGGTATTGCCCCGCTCCGGTCGGTTCTGCCGGCGACAGCAGCTGAATGCCCACCAATTCAGTTCAGTCTTTACACCATCTCTGTGAAGAAAGTGTCAGATCCCACAAGACTGCCTCCACCTTTGGGTATCAATTGCAAGACCCAGATTGTTGCACCCAGGCTTCTGACCAACTGGCTACAAGCCTGGGTCCCCAGGAGCCAACTCTCAGAACTCAGGGAAACACGGAGACTTGTCTTTAGTGGTTTGCTATGAGGAGTATTACAGAGGTGACCAGTGGCCACCAGATGAAGAAACAGATAGGACAAGGGATGTGGGAAGGGGTACAGAGCTTGTGTGTCCTCCCCAGGTGCACCACTCTCCAGGCAACTCCACGTGTTTGGCTGTCTGGAAGCTCTCCAAACCCTGTCCCTTTGGGTGTTTATGGAGGCTTCATTTCACAGGCATGCTTGAGTGCATCATTGTCCATTGGTGATCAACTTAACCTTCAGTCTTTCTCCCCACCCAGGACTCTTGTGATTGGAGTGAAAGTCCCAACCCTCTAGTCCGGGCCTCGGTTTCCAGGGACCAACCCCCATTCTGAAGCTACCCTGAGGGTTGGCAGCCAACAGTGATCTCACCAGCATACAACAGACATTTATCTCTCTGGAGGTTCCAAGGATTTTAGGAGCTTGTAGCAGAAAACTGAGGAAAACCAAATATATATTTCACACCATCACAACTGGCTTGTGGACTTCACCACCACAGAACATGCTGTTTCCATAGGAAAATGCATTCTGAGCTCCAAAAATCTAGTGTGAGCAAACAAGGATTTTACACTTGGAGAATGGCTACAGTTGTGTGTAGGGGTGGGCATTTGAATGGGGGGTTAAGATATTGCTGGGGATGCCCACAGCCCACATTGGAGAGCCAGTGTCCATATCTCGGCTCCACTTCCATTCCAGCTTCCTGCTAATGCACACCCTGGGAGACAACAGTAAGGGCTGAAGTAGTTGGTCGCTGCCACCCATGTGGGACACCTTGACCTGAGTTCTAGGCTCCCAGCTTCAGCCTGCTCCAGCCCTTGCTAATGCAATCAGTGGATGAGATTTTCTCTCTCTCTCTCTCTCTCTCTGCCTCTCAAATAAAATAAATTTTTTAAAGAAAACCAAATTGCATGTGACTAGAGTTGCCCTCCTTGATAGAGTTGGCTCACGGGTTTATGTTATTTTTTCCACTGGCACCACACCCTCTCTAGGTTGTAGGAGACCTGAGGTTCACGTGGGCCCAGGAAGACAATGTGGAACTTTGGTCCATAGCGGGCGACTCACGGTTCTCTCAAATTTGAATGGCTCTGCTGTGTCTAACCCTTTGCTGTCCAGATCTGTCAGGGGAACAGACAGCAGATCTCCTGAGACCTATTTCGCCGACCTGTCTTCCCTGCTGCCCCAGAGGTAGCTGCTGCCCTGGGACAGCCCACACCTGTCTCATCTCCTCTCTGCAGGTGTCCGGCCTACGCCAGGGGTCAGCCTTCTGCCTTCTCCACAGCAGCCAGCTTCCTGAGGTCTAGACTGGCATTCAAATCTGATCTCACACACGGCAACCAGAGGAGTTCATGTCCCATCTAAAGCGGTTTCTGACCCTCTGAGAAGACAGGCCTGGGCTGACAATGCCTTCTTATTTCTAAAAAAAAAAATTAAAAGACAGAAACCTAAACTTTCATGTCAAGCTTAATCATTTTAAAATTTTAGAATTGAAAACAAACTGGTTTTTAGATTTTGTTGAATGTGATTTTAGTATGGTGGTTTTTCTTTAAAAATAATTAGTGAAGCTTTAACAGGTGAAATGCTATTGTTTCTGTGATTTGTTTTGAAATTATTCAAGAAGAGCAGCCATTTAGACTAAGCAGTCAAAACACCCACATCCCATACTGCTGAGGTGCCTGGATTCAAGTCCCAGCGGTGGCTCCTGACTCCAGCTTCCTGTTACTGTGGACCCCGGGCGGGGTGGGGGGGGGGGCGGTGGTGATGGCTTACATAGGAGGGTGCCTGCCTGGCCCCAGTATTTAAGTAATGGACCAGCAAGTGAGAGCACACATGCTCTCTCTCTCTCTCTCTCTCTCTCTCTCTCTCAAATAACAGTAATAATAATAATAAAATAATCCAAGACAAAAATAAATGACAATGCGTGAGGTTTTAAAAAACGTGTGATGATTTTAAAAAATGTCCACAAATTCTTTAATATTCCTTTCTTGACAGATGGCACCTAATTTCTGCTCCTTCCATTGTGGGTGGGGCTTGGTGATTCGTGCCTAAGCAATAGAATGAGGCATGCTCACCAGGTGTGCTCTTAGGAGACAGGTCATAAAAGGCAGTGAGGCTGCCTCCTCCTTCACTGTTTCTGCGGTTGCCTGAGCTGGGGAAATTCGCAGCCTTGTCACAGACACTCAAGTGTCCCTGGCTCACTCACGGAGGCCTCTTGTGAGAGCGCCATGTTGGCCATAGGCCTTCCGGTCCAATCAGGCTTTCAGATGACCAAAGTCCCGGAGCCAAACCACCCAGCTAGGCTGTTCCTGCATTCCCAATGCTGTGTTTGTCTTTGTCCATGTTCTATTCTATAATAGAATTACCTGTGACTGTGTGACTGCGAGATTTATAAAGGAGAGGTTGATTTTGGCCGGCACCGTGGCTCAATAGGCTAATCTTCCGCCTTGCGGCACCGGCACACCGGGTTCTAGTCCCGGTCGGGGCGCCAGATTCTGTCCCGGTTGCCCCTCTTCCAGGCCAGCTCTCTGCTGTGGCCCGGGAGTGCAGTGGAGGATGGCCCAAGTCCTTGGGCCCTGCACCCGCATGGGAGACCAGGAAAAGCACCTGGCTCCTGGCTTCGGATCAGCGCGATGCGCCGGCTGCAGCGTGCCGGCCGTGGCGGCCATTGGAGGGTGAACCAACGGCAAAGGAAGACCTTTCTCTCTGTCTCTCTCTCTCACTGTCCACTCTGCCTGTCAAAAAAAAAAAAAAAAAAAAAAAAAAACCTACTCCGGGTTGGTATAGCTGGTGTTGCAGCGAAACATAACTAACATAGCCAGACCCTGGAAGTGTGCTGGTTTACAAATTTTGGCTTCAACTTTTCTTTTTTTAAAGACTTATTTATTTATTTGAAAATCAGGGTTACACACAAAAAGAAGGAGAGGGAGAGAGAGAGAGAGAGAGGGAGGGAGGTCTTCCATCCCCTGGTTCACTCCTCAATTGGCTGCAACGGCCAGAGCTGTGCCAATCCGAAGCCAGAAACCAGGAGCTTCTTTCGGGTCTCTCACATGGGTGCAGGGACCCCAGAACTTGGGCCATCTTCCGCTGCTTTCCCAGGCCATAGCAGAGAGCTGGATCAGACTTGAACTGGCACCCATATGGGATGCCAGTGCTGCAGGTGGTGGCTTTACCCGATACACCACAGTGCTGGCCCCCGGGGTTTAACTTTTCAAAACAAAGATCCTAGGTGGGCAGATTCACAGGTGGCTCTCAGGGTTAACTCTGAAATTAATCAAGGCTCTGGACTCCTAGACCCACTTTCACTCCCCCGCCAACCAAAGGGGTCAGTGTTAAAGTAGTCAAATAGTATTCTATCACTGTATCATATATGAGAAAACAGAGGGCCAAATATTACAGGAAGCCCTGACAGAACTACCCCCAGGACTGCCAACCTGCTCCATGATTTCTCCTCCACACTTGCCAGTAAGCAGAGCTGACGCTGTCTAGGCAGTTTCTCTTTTTGGGGCCTTTTCTTGCTAGATTTTAAATTGCCATGGGTGAGAAGATCAGCAGCCAGTTTGCATTACGTAGTGGCAAAATCCACACTTAGAGTTGCAAATCCGTTAATGCTGCGAAGAACCAGATATGGGGGAAAAAAGTTATTTTCCAAAAAGACAAAACAAAAAAACAAAAAACCACACAATAGAAACTTTTCTCCAAAAATAATCTTCGGTGCAGGAAAACTCAGACAACGGAATGTCAGTTTCATGGGAGCCAAGTGTTGCAGGGTCACTGCTGTATTTCCGTGCCTGCAAGTCCCAGGACACGGCATGCCACCTACCAAGCATCTGCTGAATGAGTGAGTGAGTGAAGAAGGGACAGGAGGAGGAGAGTGGAATCCTGTCCCTGGCCTCCCCCGCCCACCCTCTCAATGTCACCACCAGGGCGCACACTGGAGGCAGGCGGAGGCTCCCTGAGGAATGCCCCTCTGGACGCGCCGCCCGCCGGTCCTGCTCCTGCTCCGCTCCTTCCACTCCCTGACCCACAAGGGCCTCCCCGTGGCCCTCTCCGCACCTCTGAGGTCCTGATTTCTCCTATTTGCTAAATGAGGTGGAAGCTTCCAGCCTTGGACGCTTCATAAGCCTGCCGCGGGGGAAGGAGGCGGAGCCACCACATGGGGGTGGGTTGGGGGGGAGGGAGGGGGCTTTGAAGCTGACGCAAAGCCGGAGGTCTCGGAGCACTGGGACCAGAAGCGGCCAGCCTGGCAGATGACCTCATGTGACTGATGTTCAAAGCAGCTGTCGCTGTACAGAAGGCGGCCTGCACAAAGGAGCCAGCCAAAAATAATGAGAGAGGTGAAAAGGGGAGAAAAAAAAAACATGAAGAAGAAAGAAACACAGCAGGCCAGGCCAGGGCCCGGGTCACGTGTGCTTCCTCTCGTGCTCCACCCAGTCCTCAGACAGCCCCCTCCTGCCTCCTCCAGAGGAGAAGTTGAAAGCGACCCTTGGGGGGGGGGGGGAGTTGGGGGCGCGGAGGGCTTTGCAGAGCCTGCTGCTGTTTACCATGCTTAGGACAGCCAACGGTGCTGAGCTCAAACAGGAAAGAGCTGCAGACTGGCCGGCAAGGCCGCGGAGGCGCTGCTGGAGTGCACCTGCCCCCGGCGCTGCTCGGCGGCGTCTGGCAGGAGCCCTCGGCTGCAGCACCAGGCAGGCGGCAGGCAGCTGCTACTTCTTGGTCATTTCCTTTCCTTGTGAAGCTGCTGGGAGACCGAGGCGGGGCGGGGGTAGGGGGTTGAGGGGAGTGGGGGGACAAAAAGAACTGAAGAGACTTGGATTACAAAAGCCAACACCTGATTCCCAGCCCAGGGTGGGAAAAGAACAAGCGTCACAAGACCAAGCTTGGGCTTGCACGCCGAGGTCTTGTTACTGATTTGTCTTCCATCATGAAGACGTGATGTGCGCAAGAGGCCACGTCGCTCAGCACAGGGCCACAGCGCTGCCCAGGGAAAAGTGACTTCGCCTCAGCTACCCCCAGAGCTCGGTGATTTCCTGGTGAACGGGAGGGGCAGAATCCGCTTTCTCATGTTTCAAAGCCCTCGCTGCAGGCAGTCATCCAGAGAAAGGTTCTGCTTAGTGGTAGAACAGAGGGAAAGAAAGGCTATTAAGGGAATGTAACCGGGCGTAAAACAACAAAAGCAGACGCATTTGAAGTGCAAAGCCGGAAAGCCGATGCTCCAGGGCTGGCTGCGGGCTTCCTACTTGCCCGCGTCCTAAGGCACATGTTGCCTTGTTCCTCATCGCTTTTCCAGAGCAGGGGGACCCGGTCAGGCTGGGTCTAGTCTCACCACCTGTGGGCCTCAAGAGCTACCAGGAGACAGGTAAGGGATGTGCTGCCATGGATCTAGTGACATGCCGTGGCACCTGTCGCCGGAGCTCGGCAGCTCTCGCGGTCTCGCCAGGCCCCATGCCCTTCCTTGTAACCCCTGGATAAGCCCCCACACACCGTCGTCCAGCAGGGCCACGCTCCTTGAGACCTGGAAGTCTACTGCATTCTCATCTGTCGACAGAATCAACATTCTCTTTTCCTTCACCCCAAAGCTTTGTCCTTATTATCTTGATTGACACCAGGAGCAGCACTGAATTTGCGGTAACAGAAACCAATGTGAAATGGTCAAAATCTTCCAGGTCTTCCCCCCTTTTCTTGCTGTGGGCCTTCCCCCAAATTTCTTTCCTCCGATTCCATTTCAGAAATTCCCCAGGCTCCAAGAAGCACCAGACTTTCTGATCGGGTCCCTGGTAGGCTGACCAGGAACATCTCATTCCTCTTTCTCTCATTTTGGCTATTTGCGTCAGAACCTTCTCCCTCAAGCATTCCCAGCCTCCAGCTCACAGGATTTGCCCAGCTGGAGAGGAGCAGCAATTCCTCTGGAAATCCTCCCCGAATCCGCAATGAAGAGTTCCCCTGACTCTGATGCAGTGTTTCCCTTGGCATGCGATGACCTTTGGGTTCTTTCAAAAGTTTTCTCCTTCACATTGATTTTTTAGCATTTGACTCTGACACTCCCAGTTGTATGTGTGTGTCTGTGAGTATGCGTGTGCACCTGTATATGTGTATGTCTGTATGTGTGTATGTCTGTATGCATGTGTATGTATCTGTGTGCATGTCTGTGCATGTGTGTGTACCTGTGTGTATATGTGTGCATGTGTGTGCATCTGTGTGTATGTCTGTATGTGTGTGCAACTGTGTATGTATATGTCTGTATGTGTGCATCTGTGTGTATGTATGTGCATGTATCTCTGTGTATGTCTGTGTATATGCACACCTGAGTGTATGTGTGTATCTGTGTGCATGTGTATGTGTGTGCACCTGTGTGTATATGTATACATGTGTGTGCATCTGTGTGTATGTCTGTATATGTATGTGAAACTGTGTATGTATATGTATATGTGCACCTGTGTGTGTATGTATGTGTATGTATCTGTGTGTATGTGTGTACCTGTGGGTATGTGTGTATGTATCTGTGTGCAAGTGTAAACTTATCCTTGGGATTTGCTCTCCTTTCTCTCTCTTTTTTTTTTTTTTTTTTGGACAGACAGAGTGGACAGTGAGAGAGAGAGACAGAGAAAGGTCTTCCTTTTCCGTTGGTTCACCCCACAATGGCCACCGCGGCCAGCGTGCTGCACTGATCTGAAGCCAGGAGCCAGGTGCTTCTCCTGGTCTCCCATGGGGTGCAGGGCCCAAGGACTTGGGCCATCCTCCACTGCACTCCCGGGCCACAGCAGAGAGCTGGCCTGGAAGAGGGGCAACCGGGACAGAATCTGGCGCCCCGACCGGGACTAGAACCCGGTGTGCCGGTGCCGCAAGGCGGAGGATTAGCCTAGTGAGCTGCGGCGCCGGCCTGCTCTCCTTTCTAAATCTGTGCATTTGTGTCTTTCTCCAAATTTGGAAATTTTTCATTTATTCTTTTTTTTCAAATAGTTTCTTCTGCCTCATTTTTCTTTCTTCTGACTCCAACTATGTACATATTAGAACTTTTGATGTTATCCCCAGTTCCCAGAGGGTCTACTCATTTTTTCTTCTCTTCTTTGTTTTTCATATTGGATTATTTCTATTGAATTTTTAAAGTTTGCCAATCTTTTTTATGTTATCTGTATTCTACTATTAAGCTCAACCAGCATTTTTTAAAATTTTAGAAATTAGAATTTTCATTTTATTCTCTAAAAATAGTTTTTATTTCTTTTCTGAATGTTCCTATCTTTATTTATTAGGAACATGTTTTCCTTTATATCCTTGAACATAGTTCTAAGGGCTACTTTAAAATCTAGCTCATGGGGCCGGCACCATGGCTCACTTGGTTAATTCTCCGCCTGCGGCACCGGCATCCCATATGGGCGCCGGCTTCTAGTCCCGGCTGCTCCTCTTCCAGTCCAGCTCTCCGCTGTGGCCCAGGAGGGCAGTGGAGGATGGCCCAAGTGCTTGGGCCCTGCACCCGCATGGGAGACCAGGACGGAGCACCTGGCTCCTGGCTTCGGATCAGCGCGGTGCGCCGGCCACAGCGGCCATTTGGGGGGTGAACCAACGGAAGGAAGACCTTTCTTTCTCTCTCTCTCTCTCTCTCTCTCTCTCTCTCTCTCTCTCTCTCTCACTGTCTATAACTCTGTCAAATAAGAAAAACAATCCAGTTCACAAGCCCAATCATCACCTCAAGACTGATCTCAATTGATGTCTTTTCTCTAGAGAATAGATCATATTTTTCTGTTTATTCAAATGTTGAGTAATTCTGGAACGTTCCCCAGCTGTTATGAACGATACACTGTGGAGAATCTCTGTTATGTTATGCTACTCTGAAGAATACTGTGCTGTTTACTTGTCTAGTGCTTTAGCTTGACTGAATTCAAACTGGAAACGCTGTATTTCCTGAGGTAGGTGGGTTCTGTTGTTTTGGTTCCGCTGAGAGACTTGAAGTCTGTCCTACACACAGGCAATAGAGGGTCCAATCACAACTCCACGGACAGCCTTCGGGCTCACACTCTCTCTCCCTCCTTCCTTTATCCCCTTTATGATTCTCTTATTTGTGAAATTTCTCTCTTCCTTTCTAGAAGCTGGGGATGCCTTGAACTCTAACCTCTGGTCCTTCAATCTAGGGAGACTGTGAATTTCTCTAAGAGTTCGTCACCCCACGTGGCACCAATGATAGCTTGCTCTCAGCTCTCAGGATAAAAGCCATGGAAGACGTAAAGCTTAAGTCTCACAATTCCCTTCTTCAGGTGTAATGTCTCCTCTGATATTGTCCTGCTTTTATTTGCCCTCCTGAGCCTTCAGGTGATTTTTATATTTTCCCCAAAGCTTTAAACTATTATCTGCAGGTAAGTTAGTTTGATAGGGGTTTATTATGCTGGGATAGGAAGTGGACTCCTATATTTTGCTTCTTGAATAAATAGCTGCTAAAATGATTTTTAAGATATTTCCAGTTGTGCTCTTTGGCAAATAATTTGGTCTCAGTTTTCTGTTCCACCTCAAAACTTTGCGGTTTAAAACAATAACTTTTTTATTTATTCATGGTGCTATGACTCAGTAATTTGGGCTGGGATCAACTTAGCAGTGTTTCTGATCATGACCATAACTATACAGTGGTGTCACAGTCGTCTCATAGCTTGAATGGGGCTATATGTCTGAGACGTTCCTGCTGCTTGGCAATTGGTGCAAAAAGCTGGCTGGATCTTTCTTTCCTTGTGGTCTCTGAACCTCAAAGAGGCTAGCTCAGACTTCTTCACATCAGTGTCCGAGGGATCCAAGAGGGTAAGAGTGGAAGCTGCCAGGGCTTTTGAGACCTACACTTGAAACATTCTCAGCATCATTGCTACCCCATACTAGAGACTAACACAGGTGAGCCCAGCACAGATTTGAGGGGATGGAGATTCAATTGTGTGTGTGTGTGAGTGTGTGTGTGTGTGAAGAGAGATAGGAGGACCTTTTGGTCATTTCCTACAAGCCATCACACTATTATGAAATGATCACTGGGCAGTAATAATGGTAACAATAGTATTAAAATGTCTCCTACCTTCTGGTCCATCGTCACAGTCAAGAAAGATCCTATGTAAGAGCTAGGGGACCTAGGAGCTGGGAGGTCATGCAGAGTCACCAAGATTGGAGAGGTAGCACTGCTGCTGGACAGAACCAGAACAGACAACAGGAGGGGTCTCCAAAAGGTTTATGGAAAATGCGTTTTATGAAAAAGCTATGCCTGGATTGCAAAATTTTCTTTGATTCAAAATAAACTTATCTTTTAAAGCCATTTTTCCATGAGCGAAGCTCTCTCATATGTAAGATGGTAGAGGATAATGGAAAAAAAAAAAACAAAACAAAACAAAAAACAAACAAACAAAAAAAACACCAAGGTTGGAGGAAATTAAGAAGAGGGGAGGTTGTTTCCAACTTTTTTAGACATTTGATTTATTTACTTGTATTTATTCAAAGTGGGGGGATGTGGAGAGAGCGAGCAAGCTTTCATCTGCTGTTTCACTCCCCAAGTGCGCACAGTAGCCAGGATTGGGCTAAACCAGAGCTAGCCCATCCAGGTCTCCCATGCGGGTGGCAGGGATCCAAGCAATTGAGCCGCCAGTTGCCCCCATGCATGGTACACATTAGCAGGAACCTGGATCACAAGGGAAGCAGGCACTGACACAGGCACTTCAGTACGCGGTCTGGGTGTCCCAAGGGGCATCTTAACCATGGTGCCACGAGACTCACCCTTTGTTTGCAGTTTCTAATGGGATGCATAGAGAAGGCCTCACTGAAAGACCTGAGGATTGAGAAAGACCTGAAAGAAGCTGGGGGGTGGGGGGAGAGCTTTCATCCAATGGGAAGAAGACATACCCCTGGTGGGGTATGCTACTGGGTACACATAGTGTATATGGGGTGCCAGATCTTCCATTATGTTTGAGTGAGCTGGGGACACATGCTTAGCGTGCTGAGTCCCAAAAGCCAGAAGTAATAATTACTTAAAAGTGTCCTAGACAGGCCAGCGCTGTAGCACTGTGGGTAGAGCTGCCACCTGCAGTGCCAGCATCCCATATGGGTGCCAGTTTGAGGCCTGGCTGCGCCACTTCCCATCTAGCTCTCTGCTATGTCCTGGGAAAACAGTAGAACATGGCTCAAGCCCTTGGGCCCCAGCAACCACATGGGAAGAAGCTCCTGGTTCCTGGCTTTGGATTGGTGCAGCTCCAGCCTTTGAGGCCAACTGGGGTGTGAACCAGCGGTTGGAAGACCCCTCTCTCTCTCTCTCTCTCTCTCTCTCTCTCTCCCTCTCCCTCTCCTCTCTCTGTGTAACTCTGACTTTTAAATAAATAAATAAATCTTTTTAAAAACAGTGTCCTGTACACCATTTCATATCACACCAGGCTGAATTCTTTGAAGAGCCTTGATGGATCCTACATGAGACTTTTGGCAGCCTTGGTGTTCATGAAGCTTTGTAGGCATAAACATGAAATAGAAAGAGGAGACTGAAAAATGGTCTTTTCTCTGGTGGATACACACACTGAAACTTGCACCGATGACAGGGAAATTTGGATCAACTCTGCCAATAAGGAAAGCTTTGGAACTGAATGAAATATAAAGATACCTTCCATTAACAAAGCATTGAGGAATTTACAAAACCAGAGTGTACACTAGGAGAACCCAGGAAACAAGACCTGCACCCAAATCTGTGTGTGCTCCGAGGACATTTTACCCTCAGAGAAATGGCTGCAAAACTGAACTTTGTGCAAACTCCTGGGCCCCCAAAGGGAAGGCAACACCTGCAATCCAGCACCGGTGAGGAGTCCAATAAACCATGCCCACTTCCAGCTGGGATCCCAGACAGTGGCAGCTGCGGGGAAGCTGGATCACAAGAAAGCTAATCCCTGCAAAGAATTGCTGGCAGGCTAAAGCCAGCTGGGTGGTCCAGGGAACCGCAAGTCTTGAACTTGGTTTGAGATGGACTTAGTCTGGTAGCACCTCAGGTGTCATTTTCCAAATGAAAATTTGGTAGAAGATCCTGTCATTCTAGGCTTAACCCCCAATAGGTGCTGCCACCCTGTGTTCTCACTCTATGTCACCCACTCCCCAAATGCTGGGATGAGCCTGTGACTTGCTTCAAACCAACAGAATATTGTTGGTTCGGTGATGGACTGTCATGATAGTGAAAAAGGCAATGGGCCATCACTCCTGTAAAGACGTGGTGGTTTCAGCTTTAGTGGACTTGGCTCAGATACTCTCAGTCCTGAAACTACAAAGAATTGGACCAGGACAGCTTCCACCTGGACTTGGAAGAGGACCCGCAGCTCCAGAAAGCAATGAGGCCTGGCAAGGCTGTGTTCACAACCCTGTGGGACCCTGCGCAGGGGATCCCACACCCACACTCAGAGGGTCTAGATTCCTGACCCCTGGAAAGAGTGAGGGCGCAATTGTGTGTTGTCGCAAGTCATTGATTCTGTAAACATCTGTTAACTACAAAGCAATAGAAAAGGAATACAGCCAGTGATTAGAATCATCTTGTTTGGTATCCAGATTTATTCATAATAAAACTAATATTTTAACCTCCATTGTTTGTCTTTGTGACTACTCCTCCATAGTTTCAGACTTGAAGGCGGGAGAAAGGTAGAATGGTCACCTCCAACCCCAGTGCCTTGTGGTCCCTCCTCCGCGGGCCACCTTCCCAACCATGGTTCACTCAAAATATCTTTGCAAAACAAGGGCATCCATTTTCATTGTGTAACTCTGCTCTGATTTTGGAGCACTCTGTCTTAAATGTGACTTATTTATTTCTGTCCTCCTCATCCCTTGATGTGATTTTTCGGAGAATTTATACACCTTCTCAATTCAAGACCTTTTTCTGGCCATTATATTTTCATTTTCTGCCCAATTCCTCATTATTCTTTCCTCCTGGAACTCTCATTAGATGTGTGGATTGAGCTTCTGCATCTATGTTTCTCCCCTCTTAACTTTTATTCTTCTCTCTCCTCTGCCCAGGCCATGCTCTGCATGATTGCACGGCTCCGTCTTCCAGTTCTGTAACTCTGTCTGCAGGCGCGTGCTGTCTCCTGTTGCTGTGGTTGCCTTCCTAATTCAGTGAACAAAGTTTATAACAAGCTCACATTCATATTCTTGCTGTAGTGCATGCACGGCTTTTTTTCACAATACGCATTTCCCAAGAACCTTTTTTGAAGACCCCTCATATGCACGGGTTTCAATATTTTTGGCACCAAAGTAAACTTATCTTTTAGTTCCATTTCTATGAATTTTTTGAAGTATGCTTGTGTAACTTCTCATTTAATATTGATGGAAAGGTAATATTCCTTCTTTTTTCTTCTTCTTTTTTTTTTTTACTGGCAAAGTTAGACAGTGAGAGAGAGAGAGAGAGACAGAGAGAAAGGTCTTACTTCCGTTGGTTCACCCCCAAAATGGCTGCCACTGCCGGCGCACTGCTCTGATCTGAAGCCAGGAGCCAGGTGCTTCTCCTGGTCTCCCGTGCGGGTGCAGGGCCCAAGCACTTGGGCCATCCTCCACGGCCTTCCCGGGCCACAGCAGAGAGCTGGACTGGAAGAGGAGCAACCGGGACAGAATCCGGCGCCCCAACCAGGACTAGAACCCGGAATACAGGTGCCATAGGCGGAGGATTAGCCAAGTGAGCCACGGTGCCGGCCTGTGATATTCCTTCTTAATCTCTTTAAGAATTCTAAGATTCTAATAATTTAAAGTTATTTGAAGACTTCTAAGCCATTCCAATTTCTTTGGATATAAATTCTCACATGTTGTGTCTAATGGATTTATCCATTGATAGATTTCTTTGTGTGTTTTGTAAATTTTATTCGAGACTTTATCTTGTGTGACATTGGTTTTGAAAATTTTTTAAAGATTTATTTTACTTATTTCAATGGCAGAGTGAGACAGAGAAAGAGAACTTTTATCCAATGACTTACTCCCTAGATGGCTGCAGCATCGGGGCTGGGCCAGGTTGAAGCCAGGAGCCTGAAACTCCATCCGGATCTCCCGCGTGGGTGCCAGGGATCCAAGCACTTGGGCCATCGTCCACTGCCTTCTCAGGTGTATTAGCAGGGAGCTGGATCAGAGCAGAGCAGCAGGATCAAACTAGCTTTCCGACCTGGGATGCTAGCCTCTAGGATATAAACCCTGGCTGACTCCCTGAGCCACCACACCGGCCCCTGGTTTTCATTTGTTTGTTAACTGCCCATTCCCTCCTCTGCTTGCCTCAACCTGGCCCTCTAAACATCACAGTCCAGAGCTCATCAAGTGTGTCCCACCTGTGCTCAGCGTAGCCTGGTTTCCTTCATTACGCAGATGTCTCTCTATGTAAGCAGAACATTTCTAACCCTAGCTGGGGAGTGGGGCAGCCGTTTCAGTCCCAGCTCCCTGGTCGGAGGCACTGTCCCAGCCCCTGGCTGATCCATGGGCCTGATTCCCCATGAAGCATAAAGTGCACTTGGTCCCTGTCTCCCAAGGAACTTTGACAGAACCTACTTCCCATGTGCCCCGCGACCTCAACTCTCCAACCCTCGCTAATTTTAATTTGAAATTGAGATTTCCCTTGGTCTCTAAGACACTTGTGTCCTTTGGTTTCTAAGACATGTGCTGCTTTTGCTTCATTTTTCTCACCACTTTCCATGCTGGGGTCACAGTAGGCAGGGGTGTCCATGTCATTCCTTCACCCTCCTGACTCCAGGTCTCTGGACATTCATCACAGGGTTTGACCCTGAAGCCCAGAAAGGTTAGCTGAGTTTCACAGGTGCCACAACGTGTTAGCAGGCAAGGCATTACTATAGCTGGGCCTATGCCTGGCTGTGTTAGAGACACAAGTCTCTTGTTCCACACTGAACAGTGGGACTTTTTTCCCAAAGAAACTGTTTATTTAATGAGTATAAATTTCATAAGTACAACCTTAGGAATACAGTGACTTTTCCTATCATACCCGCCCTCCCATCCGCAATCCCACCCCACCTCCTGCTCCTTCTCCTATTCCCAGTCACATTCTCCATTAAGAAAAAAAAAAAAAAAAAAAACACCTGTTCCTCAATAGTCAAAACAAGGGTTGTTGGAATCGTTGCTTCTCAAAGTGTCAATTTCACGTCTACAGATTTCCTTTTTTGCTCTATTAGTTGCTCTATCAGTTATCACAGGTCAGGGAGAGCATATGGTAGGTATTTGTCCCTTTGGGACCGACTTATTTCACTAAGTATGATGTTTTCCACATTCATCCATTTTGTTGCAAATGGCTAGATTTCTTTTTTTTTTTTAAGATTTTATTTATTTATTTGAGAGGTAGAATTACAGACAGTGAGAAGGAGAGACAGAGAGAAAGGTCTTCCATCCGTTGGTTCATTCCCCATATGGCCGCAATGGCTGGAGCTGCACCAATCCGAAGCCAGGAGCCAGGTGCCTCTTCCAGGTCTCCCACGTGGATGCAGGGGTCCAAGGACTTGGGCCATCTTCTACTGCTTTCCCAGGTCATAGCAGAGAGCTGAATGGGAAGAGGAGCAGCCGGGACTAGAACCGGCGCCCATATGGGATGCTGGCACCGCAGGTGGAGGATTAGCCTACTGCACCACAGCACCGGCCCCTAGATTTCTTTTTTTAAGATTTATTTATTTATTTATTTGAAAGTAAGAGCTACACAGAGAGGAGAGGGAGAGAGAGAGAGAGGTCTTCCATCCGATGGTCCACTCCCCAGTTGGCCGCATCAGCCAGAGCTGTGCTGATCCAAAGCCAGGAGCCAGGAGTCCCCTCCAGGTCTTCCACGAAGGTGCAGGGACCCAAAGATCTGGGCTATCCTCCATTGCTCTCCCAGGCCATAGCAGAGAGCTGGATGGGAAGTGGAGCAGCCAGATCTCTAACCGGCACCCATATGGGATGCCACGCTTCAGGCCAGGGCATTAACCTGCTCCACCGCAGCACCACCACCCCCCCCTTTTTACTGCTCTGTAGTATTCCATAGAGTACATATCTCATAATTTCTTTATCCAGTCTTCAGTTGATGGCATTTAGGTTGATTCCACATCTTAGCTTGTGAAGTGAGTGAGCAGTGGGATTTTATTTGCGTTGCTTGCCCATTTAAGCTTTTATTAATTTTCTGCTTTTAAAGTTTTATTTATTTATTTTCATTTGAAAGTTAGGGTGACAGAGAGAGAAACAGAGGGATCTTCCTTCCACTGGTTCACTCTGCAGATGCCCACGACAGCCTTGGCTGGGCCAGGCCAAAGCCAGGATCCCAAAACTCAATCCGAGTCTCCCATACAGGTGGCAGAGGCCCAACTGCTTGAGGCATCACCTACTGCCTCCCAGAGGACAAATTAGCAGGAAGCTGGAATCAAGGACAGAGCTGGGATTCAAACCCAAGCACTCGGTTATGGAATGGGAGTGTCCCAAGCAGCAGCTGAACTGTTAGGCCAAACATCCAGTCCAACTTTGTGTATCTACTTATATGGTTATTTATTTATTATGCCACAGCAGCCTGATAATGCAAATCTGATAGCATCTCTTTTGTGTTTCAAGCCAAATCAGCCCTGTCTCTATGGCAGAATGTGTTGTAGCCCTTGCAAGACCTGTACCCTCTCCCTAATTGTCCAAGAACATCTGGGACTATTTGTTCCATGATGTCCGTTCTTCCCATCCTGGTCCTGTTCTTGCCTCCCCAGCATCTTCTCACTTCAGATGGTCTATTCTGTATCCAATGACTTGGCCAGTGAGAGACTCTGCAAGGACCTTGGGACCCAATTCTGGCTGACTAGGCATGAGAGCAAGCAAATTACGTGTGTGTGTGTGTGTGTGTGTGTGTGGAGCTTAGGTGGGTGCCTTCACTCCTAACAGGAGAGGTAAGAAAAGACAACCCTCCTTCTGTTCTTCTGGACATTCCAAATGTCTGGAAGTGACTTTGGGGCTTCCACAGATACACATGCACACACACATGCACACACACACACATGTGTACACACACGCACTTTGAGCTGGGTCAACGAGAGCAGCCTGGGAAAGGGCGAAGCAGCAGGGAAATGAGCCAGCCAGCCTCTGAATTAGCAACCCTGGAGTTTCCCAGCCTGCACTGCTGCTCTGTAGCCTATGTCACTTGGGGGAGGGGTTTCTGAGCCTTGCATCCTGCAGCATCCTAATTCACACCACCTACTTCCAAGCTGAGCTGGACCAGTGTTCCACAAGGGACATCCAAGCCCGGCCCGCGGCCAGACATCCTTCCCTCACTGTGGGATTTCCAGGGAGGACCCTCAGTGTCTTGTCCTGCTGGCCTACCTCAGTCAGGCCCACACAAGAGAGCCAGGAGCCAGGAGATTCTTCCGGGTCTCCCACGCAGCTGCAGGGGCCCAAGAACTTGGGCTTTTACTGCTTTCCCAGGCCATAGGCAGAGAGCTGGATTGGAAGTAGAGCAACTGGGGTTTGAATTGGTGCCGATATGGGATGCCAGCACTGCAGGCAGCAGCTTTACCCGCTATGCCACAACACTGGCCCCAAACATGTTTTTTTAACTCTATAAATGTCATTTTACCTTCTAGGGTATTAAGTGCCTACTCATCACAGGTTTGGGTAACTGAAAGTGAGTACTAACATCCCAGGCAGGCAAAGGTGTCAACACCTACTGTTATTTATCTATTTATTCATGAAGATTCACTTTACTAATTTGAAATGTAGAGTGACACACAGAGAAAGAGATCTTTCCTCTGCTGACTCGCTCCCCAAATGACCACACTGTCCAAAGCAAGGAACCAGGATCTCTGTCTGGGTCTCCCACATG